CCAGATCTACACTCTTCCCCTACACGACGCTCTTCCCATTTGTCTCCTCTCTTTCCCGTTCCTCTCCTCTCCTCTCCTCTCCTCTCTCTCCCTCTCTCTCTCTCCCTCTCTCTTCTCTCTCTGTGGAGTTCCGACTGCAGCTGGGTCACCAAGTCATTGCCAGTTTTCAGCATCCGCTCCTGTGCTCAACCAGAGATTCACAGCTGAATACCACCAGAATTGCCACCTTCCATCTTCAAACTGCCAAGATTCGTAGTTTTCTCTATCCCACTTGTCCAGGGTCAATGAGAAGACTCGACTGATGTGGGCGCCAAGACTTCGGTGTCTTCCTCACATCGCGCCACGACGCGTAGCGCAGAGTGACGAAGTCGGCCGATCGACCCAGCAGACCCGGCCGATCGACCCAGCAGACCCGTGAGCCCAAACGAGCCCCGAACAGCGAGCCCCGAACAAGCTCCTGCTGCATGTGAGCACAGCACCACTCCAAAGGAGATGGATGCCCATGTTGGCAACAGGGAAGTAGCATGGCCACAGTCGGCGCCTCGGAAACCAAGTCGGCACCAAGGATTTCCTCGGAAGAGTCTTCAACAAAAGAATGAGCTTGAAAGGTAAGCAAAAGACATGTCTGGTTGCCAGGCATATCGATGATTTTCTTCACCTACAGGGCACATTGACCAACAAAAGATCAAAAAAGAAGCGAAAGACGGTGCATGAGACGGTGTCTCAGCTGCCTCAGCTTCTGTCAACAGCCTCGGCCACTCCTTCTTAAACTCTTTGTCTTCTATCTCTTGCAGCCTCGCCATCAGCAATAGGCAGGAGTCGAAGACACAGCAAAACACCCATGCGTTTTCTTTCTGAAAAACACAAAAAACAAAAACGTCTCGTCGTCTCCTCCTCCCCTGCCCCCGTAAGGCTTCGGCTGAACTTCCGAGGGGTCCATGGCTCCATCCGGCGGGGTCCGTGACGCACCGGAAGAAGCGACGAGGAAACCAACGAAACCAACGCGGAAGTGCTTGGGCGATCTTTGTTCTTGAAGGGGGTGCAGCAGCCGTCTTTTTGGGGGCGAGTTCCAGCTCAAGCTTGCAGACTCCGAGTGTCATTTTCTGGTGCATTTTTGGCAACTCTTTGAGGGGTATATATGTAATGTGTGTTGTTCTTTTCATCTCTGCGGAGTCTCTCTGATCTGAGAAAGGAAGAAAAGCCACTCTCTTAAACGACCCGGTGGACTTGTCACTCATGCTGCATGTTGCTCACCGATGTTCGTTCGTGCCCTTGATCTTGTTTCTCCTGTCTAGCAGTCTAGCATGCGTATATTTGAGATGTAGACACTGGCGTCTGGTTCTCATAGCTCTCACACATCCAAGATCTCCAAGGTCTCGGCAAACCGCAGCTTCTTTGCTTTTTCGATATCTGCTCAAAACATGAAACTCCTGCCCATTCCACCCTGCCAATTGACCGAAAAATCCATGCCCTGAAAAAATCCAGGGGACCATCTTTCTTTCTCCGAAAAGCCATTCCCGGCCTCCACGGCCCAGTCTTTCAGCTGATTGCTGTGCCTCGGAAGGACTGGAAGTTCCGATGGCTTGGGATGCCCCGTTCGTAGCGAACCTTGTTCCGTAGCGAACCTTGTTCCTAGTAGTACGGCCAGGAGCCCGTAGTAGCGTCCTTGCTCCTAGTAGTAAGGCCAGGAGCCCTAGTAGCGTCTCAATTGCAAACCCTCCAAACTTTGGTCTAAAATTCCAAGTCTTGGGGGTTTGAGCAGCCAAATGCTTTGAGAGCATATACTGTACGAAGTTATACAATGAGCATTGGCACCTGGTGTTCATCTGCCCTGCTGACCGTTCTTGCGTCGTCACAACTTCCTGACTTCTTCAGGCTCAAACGTCGTCGTCACCACTCTCGCGCCCATGTCAAGAAAGCCCTGGCAGCGCCCATGTCACAATGCTGCCAGCGCATTAAAAAGGACACGGCTGATCACCTCGGCACCGATCGCACCAGCCGGTCTTGCACCGTTTCACCTGCCACCGACGATCGCGCGCGCGGACGACGGTCGGCCTCCAGCATCGCGCGTGCAAGAGCTGCCCCTTGCTGCGGATCGGTGCCTGTCCCAGCCTGGGAGCGCCGAGCAAAAAATGGTGTCGTAGGGCTTCTCTCTCTCTCTCTCACTCCCTCTCTCTTTCTCTCTCTCTCTCTCTCTCTCTCTCTATCTGCCTCTCTCTCGCGTAATTCATGTTTGAAGGGGCGATAGCTCAAGACAAGGACCTCTAGGAGTATAAAAATGTATCTGCACAAGAGTTGGTGTCATTAACTAGGGCAAGAGATCTGTATAAGTGCTTCAAAGAGTGCTGTATCAAGACATCTGCACAAAAGCCATGCCTCATCGACCATCACAAGAGCTCGCGGCCCCACTCCCTGGGCTATGCTGAGCATCAACCTTGACCTCAGTGCCAGCGGCTTCAACTGGACTTGAGTGCCTGGAAGACAGTGTCAGGGATCCTATTCTCCAAACTGCTTGAGACCAAGCTGTTTTGCTTCCAACGCAAGGCGGTCTCAACGGAACCCTCCAACTCGGACCATCTGACTATCTCCAAGAACCAGCCGGTGCTGGGGGCCGCTTCAACCACCAAGGACGCAGGCTGCAATTGAATCGCCTGACTAAGGACGCTGCGCTACCAAATGAGCTGAGTATGTTGACAAATCATCCACCTCGGCCGATCGAAATGCAGCTGTTCAGAGCTCGCGTAACAGCTTTTCTGCTCAGCTTTTCGGCTCTTTGTCTTTGAGTAGAGACGACTGAGCGCTCTGCGAGACCCGATTCTAAGCCCAGGGCGATCGTCTGCATATCACCCACATCTGCCAGAACCACCTAGTGGAACAAAGCAACAACGTCACAGTGTGGTAAAGGGACGCGCAAGAGATCATGACAAAGAAATGGGATGAAAAGTAACAAAATGGATGTGTATTCGAACAGGGAAATTAACCAACCAACCAACCAACCCACCCACCCACCAACCAACCAACAGGTTTGATTCTATTCTTCGTATTCGTACAGATCATCAGTGTTAAATTAGATCTCCCCCATTCTGATACACTCCGCGAGAGCATCAGCCACACCTCGAAAAAGTCCACTCTTGGTGCTTCTCCTCCTGGAATTGGGATCCCACACCGAGCCTCACGCGGCACCGCACCACCACCGCACTTGCAGCACCGCCACCGCACAAAGCGCGCCGAGGTGCAGACCAACAGCGCGAGGAGTCCCAGGGTTTTCAGGACGACCGTCTTTCCACCAGCGTTCGGACCGGTGAGAAGAAGGCATTGGCTGGATTTGCCGAGCCTCGGTTCACGAGGGAAACCACTCGGCCGAGCTCCTGGTGTCCGGCAGATGGGTGGACCGAATAGGGCAGCCGGACAAGCACGGTCTTTTCCCATGAAGAAGGCCACCATTGGGGGTGCATGATGGTGCACCCCAAGCAACTCGAAACATCAAGAAACCACGTTGATGTGCTCAGGTCCAGACTCAAGTCGATAGCCAACCACCTCACGCAAATACAATGCAGCCAAGCACTCATCTGCTTCAACCACGAAGAAGAATGATTTAATTTGCTTCAAAACCCACACCCACGCACCCACCGAGCGCTCTCGGAGGGCGCGGGTCAACAAACGCGCCTTTTTCCCCCCACGAAGGACCAGGCAGGGATTCCGAGCCTGACACTCAAAGAAGGAATCCAAAAAGCAACCCCTGTTCGAGGAGGAATTTCCAATGGAGAAACAGACGGAGGTGTCTCGACCATGTCTCCCCAGTCTCAGAAAAGCAAAGCGAACCATGCCCCCCCCCCCCGCTCTTTTCTTTTGTGGTCGTCTCTGTCCCCCCAAAAAAGAAATTGATGGATGATGGTTTTTCAGTTCAAGTCCTTCTAACTTCGTTCGCCTGAGATTCTCACGTGTCGCACTGCAATGATCCCATCATCTCCCACTGTGGGCACCTCCCGAGACGCAAAACCGCCAAGCGCCGCGCGTTCGTTCCTTTCTTTCTCGGTGCCAAGTGGAGCTCCACAGTGGAGTTCGGTGCTTCGGAAAAAAGTAAAAAAGCATATATGGATCCTTTTTGGGTGGATCTGTCCTTCTCCCCTCACCCGTTCTTCTTTGTCCTCCTCCCCTCACCGGCAAGTGGATCCACTTCGCGGGACGACGGGTCGGCGTGCGGACGTTCGCCTCACCCTCCATATCCTCACCCAAGAACAAGCGAGCACGTGCCAGGTCGATATGAGCTGCGGCCTAGGCCGCATGAACAAGGCAGGCTGCGTTCAGTGGAGAATCTGTCCGAGTGATCGGAGTATCCCAGGCAAACGCGAAGTTGGGTGTGATTGGTTTCTAAGCATTTTGAGGTACCAGGATGTACCAGGTAGCTCAAATGATGGCTAAGCTGTCGGCTTTCAAACATCTTTCCAAAGCATCTGCGGCATGGCTGATGGCGAGCGACATGTTCCTCCCGGCTCTCCAAAATCCCCGGCAAAACGCCCAGAATTCTGCGTTTTGCCGCGAATGCAGAATGCACAAGCACCGTCCCCAGGATTCGACGAGCCATCCTCTCCAAGGCCTGAAGAGAGGCTTGAATCTTCACCTTTCTTAGTGGGTGAAGCATAGCGAGTTATGCCGCAACGCTGGCTTGAAATGTTGCCAACTCATGTCACTGGCCTTCTTTGATTGCTCAAGATCATCTGCGTACTGCACCACTTCATAAGGTTCCACGTAGGCAACACCTTGGAACCGTTCATGCTGCAGAACTCTCCTTCCGACAGAGTAGCTGCTTCAGTCCAAATCTCAAAATTGTGTGACCTCCATTCCCTTTTTCACTGCCTTCTTTGACCCCGGACCGTATCCTCTACAGCACCCCTTTGACCCCTCAAGCCCCAGACGACCACTTCGGGACTCATCAAACAGTCTGCCAACCTGTCAGGCTTCTGCGTCAGCGCTCCGTACAGCGCTCTCCGTACAGCGCAGGTGACGCCCAACCTTGCCCTTGGAGCGCGACTTGACGCCCAACACATAGCGCCTTGACGCCCAACCCAGTCAGTCTGCATCGCTTGGCAACGCCACTGATGTCCCAGAAGACAGAAGACTCTGCTTCTATGTCAGTCAGCCCGTCTCTGAGTGAGCTGCCCTCCAAACTGCATGTACCCATCATCAGAAAGATACGTTGAGTACCTGTCTCTAAATCTCTGTTGACATCACCATCACTCCTGCTTCATACTTCAAGTACCACCTTGCTGGTTGTCTTTAAACATGGCAAGTTGCATGTCCATGTTGAACAAAATTGGCACATGACTGCCCTTTTTGCACGCCAACGCCAGGCGAATCCAGGCGAACTCTGTGACTGTGACACGATCCCTCGGGTGCCGCTCAGGAGCTTCGGGCCACCCGAGGCTTGCCAAACAGTAGCAAGAATGCTAGTAGTAAGGCCAGGAGCTACTAGTAGCGACGCCCTTTGTTCCTGGTAGCCATGCCCAAAGAATCCAGTCCGGACTCAGACTTCGCATGGATTTTAGGACAGTCTGGAAGACATCATCCTTTTGCCTCCGCCAGCCAAGCAACTGTTGGAGACAGCCAGTGCCTTTTTGTTCCCCTTGTTCGACTCTTCTTTTATTCAATGCTGCCAACTCAGCTTTCATATGCGTTGCTGTTGCTTTCATATGCAAACTAAACAAACGGTACCAGCTGGGTGTAGAACGGTGTCTATGGATCGCCGCTCTTGCCGAGGTGTCTATGCTGTCCTGCTCCACAATCCCCACAAGAACTCTCTCCGAAAGCCACTGCCTTGTGCCTCTATTCATTTTGGCACAGGAAAAGGGACCCCCCAGAAAAGAGAGACGTCCGAAGCACCGGTGAAGACTTTGAAAGCACGATATGTTCCATCTTCATCTATCTCTGACAGAAAACGGGCGGTTTTGGGGGATGGTCGATCCCAGTCCTCGTTCTTGAACTCCATCTGGATGAAGGAGGAACTGCCCGACGTCGCCTGGGGCGATGTCTCCTTGCCCAAGGAGGTGTCCTGGCCACGAAGCAATCACAGGAACAGAAACACCATCATCGCAGTTCAATCGGAGTTAGCGGCCCCCGCCTTGACCACTCCAGTAAAGGAGCAATCAATTTCCAGCTGATCGCAGATATCCTCAATCGACTTGGGTTCTCTGAACTAAGACTGCCTCCTGAGTAGTAGTTCGAAGGGCTAGTGACTAGTGGTGGCGTTGTGGTTTGTTTCTCTAAATGAATGTTTCTATGCAGGCTTTCAGCATATTCAAAGCCAAGTGGTGTCCTTGTCCTCAGCTTGGCATTGCAACTCACCACCTCACTCCCGCAGGAGTTGCAAGGCAACGTCGAGTCACTCCGTTCGTGCACAGATTCGGATCCTTTTCTCGGTACTTCACATGGAAGAGACTCGAAGCACCCGTTCCACATGGAAGACTCCAGTTCGTTTTGCGACTCCGGAGACTCGCACCTTTTTTTTGAACGAACAGCGTTTCCCTCGACGGAGCGACCTTTGCATGACCAAGTCATTCCATCGCACTGCCTCGGCGCAAGCGCCGAGGATCGGCGACAGCCCAGGAGTTGGTTCGATTCGCCCTGCCTCTCCTTCTCCTCACAAAACTCCGCCAAGCCGGTGCAGCTAAAGTCTTCGTCCTGCAGATCAAAACAACCAACCCTTTTGTTGCCAGATCAGAGAAATGACCCCTCTCTTCTACGAGCCTGGCAGCTGTATGTATCGGCCTTCGGCGGCCCAATTCCACACCGATAGTTCTCTTGCTGTCTATGACCTCCCTCTCTCCGAGACCGCCACTTCCTCGCTGCAGCCCTTCAGTAGTATTGAGCAGATGAAGACTAAGGCCGCTAAGGCCTTATGGCTTATCCAAGCCTCGGTGCACCGAGAAAGGCCAGAGCGGCCAGAACTCCTTCGATCATTTGGAAGGCGACCCTCTGGACACTTCGTGGGTAGCAAATGATTATATAGGACAAACCTCACAAAGGACTGGAAATCAAGAAGGAAATGTTAAAAACTTTGAGCTTTTGTCGATTCATGTTAGGAAGAGCAGGTGTGCCAATCACTGAGGGTCTGTACAGTTCTTTTCATGGCTGAACCTCAGCCAACAAGCAATGTGTTCCATGCGCGGGGCTCCAAATAACTAAAAATATTGATGTGAAAACGGCTGAGGCCCAAGCAAATGCAAGAAGTTGAAATTCACAAAAAACTGCCTTGATTCTTAAATGGTTGCGGTCAAGCAAGTTCACCTGAATATCTCCATCAAAACTCGCACGCATCGTATTTGGAACCCTTGATGCTTCAACCGAATTGGAAGAGGGCACTTGCCGCTGGAGAGAACCTCCCCCATCACTTTGGAGCAGGTCTCTTCCAATTCCCTGCGGGTCAGAGGGAGAGAGACGGTCGATGCTCCAGTCGAAAAGTCCCCAGGGTAAGGTCCTTCCAACTCCAATCCGTCAAAAAGGACGAAATGGACATGGAGACTATCTGGGTGGGCAAAAAAAGAGAGAGAGAGAGAGAAGCTGCAAAGGTCTTTGAGGCGGCATTGTGACAAGTCAAAGTCCCAGGAAACACGGTCTGACATATCCAAGTGCTCCGACGACAGAGTCCAGGAACCTACCCACCCGCCTGATTCTCTCCCTGAGCTGACCCAGTTCTGGGAATTTCTTCAAAGAGAGCTCTCCATCCTCTTGGAACGCCTCCAAAACAACTCTGCAAGGCATCTAACCCCGCATCCACGTGCACATGACCATCGGATAGAAATGTCACATGCTTTCATCGCGGTATGCTCGCGGTATGCGTGCGCCACATTTCAACTGCTTCATAGGGATCATGATTCGTTTGTGCCGTCGACGATGCTCGTTTGGACTCTTCACACTTTCCCTCCTCAAGCATGATGTCCAGCAACCTATCTGGCAGCTCCTTGAAGCGCAAGTCAACCAGAGTGAAGCTTAGAAGCTGCAGTGATCGCTACATGGCATGTCATACGCGACACACTGGAGCGCGAACCAACGATCCAGCAAAATCGGAGGGTGAAGAAGACAGGAGACACCCTCCGATTTCTGGGTGTGAGTCTTTCCTCTTCCCATGGGTGCATTGGGGGTTCCCCAAGTCGAAATGCACAGCACATCTACTGTAGATCTTTTCGCCCGTCTCAGGCCCGTCTCACGAATGCTGAGGCCAAGACAATGTCTTGGCAATGGCCCATGAGTAGCGGAATGTTGACACCTCTCGCACTTGCTCCATCCAAACCTCATGACACACTTGTTGAAGGTAGGCACGCTAATATTGACTTGATGCTGCTATGCCTGCCTTGTAAGCCATGACAAAAGTATTCGACGTCCAAGGCAAATCTGCTCAACTGCAAGCTAACTGCTGGAAGGAACGAAAAAATGAAGTTGAGTCATCCTCATATGAAAACTGTTTGAAAGTAACTGCTCCCTTCTTTGCACGAAGAAGAAAATTATTGGTCAGCAAACACACCGTACTGGTAGAGGTTTGATGAGTGTACCCGGATCCTTTTACCACCCACATGCTGGACAACACAAAGAGAACACATGTGAAGTTCCTCCTTCTACTTTTGAAAAGTGTTGAGATGTCATTTGCACAGTTGACACCTCAAGCAAGACACGCATCTTTATGTCGATGAACATCGATAAACTCTGCTGATAAACAAGTTGCTTCTCTAAAGAGACCTTGCTTTATGGCAGTGGACGGGGCCTCTATACACTTCTTCCAAGAGGGACTGTGAGCAACTCGAACGCAACCACTCCCAACCCAACTCCACTGTCGATTTCAGCCATTGAAGGAAAGCCTTTGACGTTCCCAGAGGAGCAGTTGTTCACGTAGGTCGTTGAACGATGCAAAAGGTTTCAGACAAATTGTGGTGGAACAATGGAAAAAAAGAATGTAGCAAGCTTCAAGGAAAGGCTTAAGTGGTTTCATCTTCGTTTCAAGTAAAAAACAAATAAAACGTTCCTCTGAGAGCTACACCATTTCGTAAGCGAAGCAAGGCCTGCATTTCTTGGTGAGGGGTGGGATATCCTTCGTTCCACCCAAACGAAAGAAGAACAAAGAAACGCTCCAACTCACGTTCCATGAAAGCTGAAAACCTCCAGGCAATGGTCTTCCCAGGGGCCATTGTCAGATTCCATGTTGGTCTGACTGAGCATAGACGAGTAAGAGGAATTGTAACGTTGCCTCAATGGAATCGGACACCTTCTGCAGCTGGGGTGGTTCCTCAGTGATCGGAGAAAACCCGGTGCACGACACAATCGTTCAACACCCTCCGACCCGACTCCAGTTCGATAAAGAAACAAAAACCAGACCATCCAACCATCAGACTTATCATAAAATGTATGCAACAAAAAGAATGAAACGGCGAACACGCCTTCTCTTCCCAAACATTAGCAATCCTCGCACTGCTTTGGACATCACCTGCGTGGCTCCTCTCTTCGGTTTCCCAGATTCGCCACACTCTGGGCCCCCCACACCAGCACGCGCCCGTGTCTGCATTGATCCACCTGTCGGAAGCGAAACGACATGAGTGTGCCCACATGCGGAGCATGCGGAGCACCAAACATTCGCCTCGGTCCTGATGTCCAATTTGGCGTCCAAATCCAAATCTGCATCTTCCAATTGTGTAAGTTCCACGACCAAAGCATACAATGCACGAGCTTCTTCCGGAGTTTGCGCTAACAGAACTTCTGGATCGATTGCCATTTCTGCAGCCGTTGCTGTGTAGCACAAAGCTTGCAAACGCTCAAGAACAAAATCCAGGTCCAAAGCTTCAAGGGTTCGTTGCTGCAAAGACTCTGCTAAATCTTGATCCACCTCTTCTCCAACAAATTCCTGGCCGTACTCGGCTCCACGCCTCACGACCGCAGTCCTTTTCGGCCAACGTTTTGACGGTGATCTGCGACAACGTGAATGTCTTCGCAGGAGGCCCAGCGCCATCAAGTCGACCAATGCGCACGGTCTCCAAATTCTGCTCGAAGCGGGTTTGTTCTCAACATCTTGCAGTGACGCAAAAGAAGAAACAGCAAACGAAGACGCCCCAATTCGTGGCTGCAGAACATCTTTTGAAGGCGAGGACAATGGATGCGAAAATGCAGCCATGGCGGAAAACACACCACGTGAAGGCTCACGTGCAGCGAGAATTCGTGTCCGATGTCGTGCGGGTGTCGCTCAATTCGAAGCAGAAATTGTGAATGTCACAAGGTAGAACTGATGATGTTGATGCACATTTCAGGAAAACAATGTCCTCCATTCACTGTGGCGATCGCACATGCCAGGTATTGCGCTGCGTCATTGGAGCGAAAGTGTCTGCCAAATCACACTCTTTGTTGTGTAACCAAATGATGGTCATAAAACACATGCAAACCAAGTTTTGGCATTCTCCGTCATGATGCATTCGCGGCAAAAGGGGTACCACGCAAAAATCTCAAATGGGCCCTGCCAAGCACACAACACTTAGTTCACCAGAAAATTACAATGTTGAAGGACAAAACAAACAGAGTAAGTTCAGCTCATTGTTTTTCACCTTGAGTGAACAACGGGGTGAATTTGTGCCATCGTTTGGATGGGTTTCACGACTTGAGCAGTGTGCCTTGCTCACAGCTTGACATACGCCATCGTTTGGATGGGCTTTGCGACTCGAACAGGGTGCCACGCTCACAGCTTGACACATCCAAAAGCACCAACGTCTTTTAGGTTCAGCGAATACCCCTAGCAGAGTGTCAAGCTTACAGCGTTACACACCCAAAAACACTGACGTCTTCTAGGTTTGATGAATACACCCATCGTTTGGATGGGCTGCGCGACTTGAACAGAGTGCCAAGCTCACGGTTCTGAAACAAGGGTAGAGAAGTGAGGTTCGAGCGGGGTTGGCAACTTGGACCACAAACCAAATCATGGCAAAGTCACGCCCTTCCCACCCAACCCTGGAACCAAATGTAACCGTTACAAGTGCATTAAAGACCTCTCCACCTCCGGTTGGATTCGTGTCTTAATTCACTTTAAGGTTTCAAAGTTCCAAGACATAACAAACAGAGTAAGCTCAGTTCATTCTTTTTCACCTTGAGTGAACAACGGGGTGAATTCGCGCCATCATTTGGATGGGCTTCACGACTTGAACAAAGTGCCAAGCTCACAGCTAGTGGCAAGCTCACAGCTTGGCACACCCAAAAGCACCAACGTTTTTTAGGTTCAACGAATGCACCCTTCGTCGCTAGTTGAACCCTGATATAATGTCGGCACATTCTTCAAAGGTCCCGAGGTTTCTGGATCCCAACGCCTGGACGGCAAATCCGCCAAGTTTGAAGCATTGCGCAAGTCTTTGCAACAGACACAAGTCACGTGATGTTCGGCTCGTGCATGATGTTTCCTGCGGGATACACCTGTCAAATTTCACAAACATAGGCTGAGTGAAGAGAATAAGATTTGCCTTTGGGAATAAGGGATATCATTTATTGCATTAAGGTTTTTGCTAGGTAAATCAGTGAACCTGCAAAAAGAAACGTTTTGTCAATGTTCCACGGCTATCCCCCAAACATCAGCACTTAAAACCCACAGTGTTCTTGGGCAGTTCTACTGTGTAGAACTGTGTCTTAAGTGTCCATAATACTGTTAGAGTGCCTGTGGGACATGATCAGGCCACACACTTCAGTCTGCAGAATTTGTTTTGGACTTTCTCGCAGAGACAGTAGTATTGTGCAGCAGCAGTTGCGTTTTTGCAACCCTAGAGCTAGAGGTTAGACTTCAGATCGCACAGGAAGGACCTCCATCCCACATGCAGTTGGTGGCGCAACCCAAAAGCCACACTCAGTGGAACAGAAACAACGCTAAAGGAGATGAAGTTCTTTTGTTTATGGTTATATGTATATATGGTTACTGCAGTAAGCCAAAGGGTTATTGTAAACAAATACCCCAAGGCCCAACGCCACACGCACATAAACAAACTACTTAGCTGTTCCAGAAGGCCATCTGTCACTCCAAAATTTGATTGAAACTACTTGAGTCTAGCCCCTTTGGCCAAACTCTCAGTGATAGATAGACCCTGGGCAATTTGCGCCTTCCTCTTCCTGCCCGAATTTGCTGCTGAAGCCTGAGCATTCTGTACAGTGGTGTTGGCGGTGTCGGGTTTGGCTTTCCCTTTGGCAGCCACCGACTTGGCCTTTGGTTCAGGCTGCGCCTTGGCCTTGGCCGTGCTTGCCTTCGGCGCAGCCTTTGCTTTGGACTTGGCCGCGGCCTGTGACGAACTCTTTGTTTTGGCCTTGGCCTTGGCCTGTGGCTTTGGCCCTGCCTTCTGCCCTTTGCCGGTTTCTTCCCATGGCACAGGCTCTTCACTAGGCGGTTCTTCTTCATCCATATCCTCTGCAGCTGCATCACTGCCATTGCTAACATCATCATCATAGATATCAATGCCGCCATCGCCATTGCCACTGGAAGCGTTGGGCAAACATGTCTGCGCCACAGTAGACTTGGGCTGCGACTGGTCAGGCTGCTTCTGCTCATGCTCTGGCTCTGGCTCTGACGGCTTGTGTGCACCTGGGTCTGGGTTGGTGCTGGATCGGGGTTCATTGGCTCTGCACTCACAGCTGGTTCTATGGAACTAGCAGCAGCTGGCTCGGGATCCACTGGATGCATTGGATTTGGCTGCGGCGGGACCTCCAGAGTTGATGCTGACCCGGCTTCCATTGCCTCGCCAGAAGCTGATGGAACTGCAGCAACCGGTGGCTCTGGCGCTGGCTGCTGTGGAGGCACTGCTACTGCTGCTTCTGTAGGAGCTGGGAGTGGCTCTGGCTGCTGTTGGGTTGCTGTTGGCAACGGGGGAGTCTCTGCTGCTGGCACTGGCACTGGCGCCGGCGCCACAATGGTATCATGTTCCTTCTGTGGCGTTGCTGGCTCAGGTTCTGCCGGTGGCTCTGGAAGCTTCAATGATGGCAATGGAGAAGTTTCCTTTGCGTCATCCACCTCCGCCACCTCCATCTCCATTTGCATGGCTACATCATGCTGCTGATCCTTGTCAGCTCCGGTCTCCATGGATGCATCTTCATCTGCCATGGCCATCTGTGGCACAAAGTGTGCGTTTGCATTTTTCTTGCTGTTTGCCGTTGCAATCATGTCATTGATGGCCATGCTTGCTTTCTGCATCTCAGAATCAATGCTGGTCTCTGCAATTGCTTGTTCTGATCGAACACCAAGGTCACAGAGAATCTTGGCATCCATGCATTCCTGCTCCTGCTCATCCGCTTCACTCTTGACATCATTCAAATGGTCAGCCTTGGCAGCAGGGTCATCGTGGATGATTTCAGAAGACTACTCTCTAAAACCTATATCTATATTTATACTTGATTTAGGGAACTTTGGCTTCATGTCACATGTCATTCAAGTAACTAATGCAACCAATGTGCATGGATGAGCTGGCGAAGCTCTTGACTAGCAAGATAAGCATCAATGCGGCTAGCATCGTCTACATACCGACAGACTGGGATTAGTCCAAAGTCAGAGTCGGAGACCACTGTGTCTGAGTCTGGTCGTGGTTTTCTTCCATTACGACGCAAGCCATGCTTTGACCCGGCCTGGTTATTCCGGAGAATACCCAATCGTTGCTTCTGTTCTTGGATAGTCCAGGTATTCCAGCCAACACCATCATCGGGACCACTGCCGGAACGCATGGCTGGTGCATCAGCATGAGTGTCCTGCAATGCTTGGGCCAACAAAACAATGACCACCAGCCAGCATACAACAACCAGAACCAGAAGCAACCACCACAGGGACAAAAGAAACCAGTTAGTATGCAGTATGCACATTTAAACACACATAAAACACAATTATGAATGGCTCCTGCCCCTGCGTGATTGGAGCAGCAGGAGTTGCAGCAGTTGTAGCTTCACCATCACAACCATTCGACGCAGCCTCAGCCTCCTCAGCCACTGACTCAGCATGTCTAAAACCAGGCCAACCATCGGTCTCAGCCTCGACATAGTCGTGCATTGCAACCAGGCCAGCACTCCTAGCATTGATTATGTTGACCATGGATGTCACTGCAAAAAAAAAGCATCAGACTGACTGACTGACTGAAAACAATGAAACATAATTCATAGTAGTACTGAGTACTGACACACCAAAAAATAAATGACTTGAGTGTGCCAAGAATCCTTGGGAAGCACGGTTTGATTGGATCAAAGCTTATAAAATCTGTGTATCCAAGCAAGCCACAGCTCATTCGGAAGTAAATGTTGTTGGTCACCACAGCCTTCTCGACCGTGAGAAACGATGCAGGAACAAACAGAACCTGATGGCTGATTAGGAAGAAAAAACCTGTTCAGCGAACAGAACAATTACAACAAAAAAGCACCGCACCGCATATAGACATAGTTTGGGGTGATCAGCAGCAGCATTTCTAGTTTTTCCCCTCACAGCTGCAAAAGTGACTAGAAAATTCAAGAGACATCTCCAGGGCTCAACCATGCTTGCTTCAGGCTTTGCAGTTCATCTGCTTGCTCTTGGGTGGAAATCTGTTCAAAGAACTTCACAGCCTTCAGGAAGAGATTCCATCCATCACATGAGTCATCAGGTTCCTGGTCCTTCATCATTGCAACAACCTGACATCAAGCACAGCAGGCCAGCAAGGAACACCAACCCCGGGACTTGGGACTCCTGGGACCCCAACCAACCCTGATCCTGCACTACAAGAATGAACACATAAATATCAACGAATAAAAACATAATATACAATTCTGAGTGACCTCAGCAATGGCTACGAGAGCCATTGCACGGTTGCCCTCAGACTGGAAGATCAAGTGTGGGAACAGGCCTGGCATCACGCCGCTAAAGGTAGACCCCTTCCTGAGTGCCAGCATGTGCAGCTTTGAGAATGATGTTGCCTCTTGACGGGAAGCGCTTGCATGTGCAACTGCACAAGGATCCGGAGGATTGCCATCTGCTTGGGCCTTGGCGGCCTTGATCTCAGTTTCGGCAACTATACGGTCCATGGCCTGTTGTAGTTCAGGCCGCTCAACAACCAAACAAGGCTCTCTTGCTTGGATTGCCTCACTATCATTGGCCGCCTCATCCCACGCTTGTCTGATTGCATATTCAAAGGTCAGAGCTTCATTGATGGCTTGTGCTTGGTCAGAGCAGCACTTTGTGCACTTTGATTTCGCTGGGTCATTCTCGAACCGTTCAGCGGACTCTGAGATGAAGCCTTTCAATTCCGCTTGCAGCATCATGTTTGCATTGGTTGCATTCTTGCTGGAGAGCC